TCTAGACTGCACGTTGAACTTTCGAAAAAGCGGCTTGCTTTTTCGAAAGAAAGCATCCAGTGAGTCTGGATGCTCTCTTTCGAAGAAGCCCTATTTACATTCAAGAACGCCTTCTTTCGAAAGAGGAACTTTCGAAAGAAGGCGTTCTTCCTCGTAAATTGAGGTTTACCGCCATCGAAATAAAAGCCGCGTTCTTTCGATTTAATTTCGAAAGAACGCGGCTGCAGTCTAGACGCAGGTGAGGTTTTTTCGAAAAAAGGCTACTTTTTTCGAAAAAACCCCTGAGTCTGGACGCAGCCTAACTGACTCCAGCAGGATCTTACTTCAGCCACAGGGAGAACTGGAACTATGTAACACAGGCAAGCAGATATATGGGGAATCCAGCCGGATGTCCCAGCTAACCAGTCGGCTGTGCCAAACCAGGGTTTTCTCAAGCTTGTTAACACATTGAAAGAAGAAGATTATCTCGAACTGGGTTCCTGGATGCATCTGACTGATCCTGGCAACAATCCCAGTCAGCTGCTTTCACCTTGTCACTGTCTAGCACAGTGGTCACCAACCAGTCGATCGGGATCGACTGGTAGATCTTGGAGCCTCTGACAGGTGATCCTGACTGGTTTGGCCAAGAGGCTACCAAATGCCAGGACTTGCTGCCCCTCCTGCCACCGCTGCTCGTCTCCTGCCCTTTGCCCAGAGTTGGCCTTATCATGAGGTGAACTGAGATGGCCAACTCAGGTGCCAGACTGGGGGAGGGAGCACCACTAGCACCCAGAGAGTTGAGACCCAGAGAATTGAGACCTTTCAAAGTTTTGGTCCAAGCGAGGGGTATGGGGGCGTCATCAGTTCGAACTACCTGTTATTCCTCCTGGAATGAGTTTTAACAGGTAGTTCGATTTAGGGCTTTATTTCAAACTACCGGGTCCCTGCTGCGTGTAGACGCGGGCAGTTAGTCCAGACTTGTACATTTCAAAAAATGGCGACTGGCTGGGAAGATGCAAATCAAGCACGGGATATTTAAATCCTGGGCTTGATTTGCAACTTCAAATGCCTACATTAGCCTCCCTAATTCAAACTAGGGGGCTAGTGTAGACATACCCTGAGTGTTATGATGAGTTAGTTGCTTGATACTTACGCTGCATTCAGCAAAGACTTGACCATGTAACGACTGCCATCACGGTCGTTATCAGAGACTGACCATCTCTAGAGCAATGCAAATTGCTTGCGCCAAAGAGCATGGCCCCTAGCTGGGAGATTTGACAGCTTCACAGCCTGCGTAGAGCAGTGTGGAATGGCAAGTGAGAGGAGATTCAGAACAAACGTGAATTTGCGGGTTGACCTCTATTGTATCCTTCCTTAGTTGGCCTTTCCCCCTAAACTGAACAGTTCCAGTCTTTTTATAATCTTTCATTATACGGAAACTATTCAATCTAATCACTACAGGTTGAACCTCTCTAGACCGGCATCCCCAGGACCTGGCCGGTGCCAAACCAGAGAATTTGCTGACCCATGGGAGATCAATATCATTCGGCAGAGTTACCAACACTTCCACTGCTTGTTGGGCTCTTAGAAGACATTTAGGGAAATTAGAGCTAAAGAACAGCACAGAGCACTGTAAGCCAGGACTGGTGGCTGTAAAGAAACTTTATGGGGCTGCGGGTACCTTGGCCACACCATGATAAGTGGATTTCTATCTAACTAAAATCATGCCGGACCCCAGAGGTTGCTGGACCAGAGAGGTTCCACCTGTAGCTGAAAGAGCAACCTTAAAAAAAAAAAAAAAAAAAAAAAAAA